ATAGCACAGTTGGGGCTGGTTTGGGGCTCTCCAGGCACAGCCATTGCACAGTTGGGGCTGGTTTGGGGCTCTCCAGGGACAGCTATAGCACAGTTTGGGCTGGTTTGGGGCTCTCCAGGCACAGCCATTGCACAGTTGAGGCTGGTTTGGGGCTCTCCAGGCACAGCCATTGCCAGCCCCTGTCCCCCTGTGTGCCAGGCTGACGAGCAGACCCGGGCATGCTACGAGCACACCATGGCAGAGTGGCTGGGCTGCGAGGCCATCGTCCGGCAGCGCGAGAAGGAGTCGCACGCCGCAGCCCTGGCCAAGTGCTCCTCGGGGGCCAGCCTGGACTCCCACATCCAGAGGATGATGCACAGGGACTCCACCATCAGCAACGAGGTGAGGGCTTGGGCAGTGCCCACACAGAGTCCCTGTGGGGTGCACACACAGGTGCTGCCCATGACCTGTGCCCACCTGCGTGTCTTGTGTTCTGTGGAAGTGAAATACTCAGGATTAGCTCCATGGAAGATGGTTTGAAGTAAGGGTGAGGAGGAACAGCATGGCACTAAGGGGCTGTGAAGCAGGGCACTGGGCTTCCTGGCTTCCTTTTCCAGCATGGAGGAAGCCTCAGCACACCCTCAGTACACTGCACCTTGGGACTGGCTTTTAACAATACAGTGAGGAATGAGATCCACAGCCCAAACCAAAGGGTGTGGAGGGAAAAGCCTGTGAAAGGAAAGGCAGTCCTGGGAACAGTCCAGGGAGTGTTTCCATGAGTTTTTTCCTTGGAGGAGAAGAGCCCAGCATGGCAGAGCATTCCCTGGCCTCAGGCTGCTGGCCCAGAGGGGAGATGAGCACTGGAGATTGGATCTGCTTCCCTCTGGGAAGTTTATATGGGTGCTTTGGGATGGAGATGAGCTGAATCCCAGTCCTGCAGGCTATGTGTGTGCCCAGAGAAGGAGAGATGCAGAGGAAGGCAGGTCTGAGCCAAGGGCAGGGTGGAACTGGATGATGCAGCTCTCGGAGGTGCTGCTCCATTGGCTGAAGCCCTGGGAATCATTCCCATCCCCTCAGCATCTTCCACCGTGGCTCTTCCTTTGGACCCACGTGTGGGAAGGGAGCTGGCAGAGTGAACACACGAAAAGTTCCCCCCTTTTCCCATCTCAACCTGAAATTTCCTGTTTTAAGTGCTCCCATGGTAATGGAGGAAAACTGTCGCCCTTCCTTTCCCCACCAGAGCCCTGCCCAGCAAACACCCACAATACAAGGGTGGGGACAAGTGCTGTTCTGAATGTGCTGTATTTTCTTAAAATCCTATTGTTTGTGTGTGATGTCATGGCCATGCCTTGCACCTCTGCTCAGTTAATGGGAGGACTTGCTCTCATTGTGGGCTGGTTGTTCAGAGGGGCCCCACAGAGCCAGGCTGGTGCCTGCAAAGCCCAGCCCTTCCCTCTGTGCTTCAGCTGGAAGCCAGAACAGGCTGCTCGTGACTTTGAGAGGAGCTGCTTCCACTGAGTCTGGCTTAAAACATCAATATTTGTCCTTGAAGAAAAGGAAAAAAAGCATGAATATGCTTGGAGAGAGTGTTTTATAGCCTGACTTCATCGTTTATGTAAACGGAGCTGGGCTGAGCTGCATTGCTGCCAAATTAGGACAGAGATTTGTAGAAATTCTCACTCCAGGGAGGCAGCATGACCTCCGTGCAGGCCAGAGGAAAGCAGCTCCTTCAGACCCAGCACACAGCACTTGAACAAGTGCATTGACCTGAGAAAGCTTTGCCTTTGTCACCTCCCCAGCAGTGTCAGGGGCTGAGGCAGGGCACTGTGCTGGGTGATGCAGCACCGTGGATGTGACAGGAAAATCCTGGGTCAGATATTTACTGGGTGCATTTCTGCTTGTTCTTCACCTGCAGAATTGCCAGGTCTGCTTGAGTTTCCTCTCCCTGACCCCTTTTCTTTTCTTTTGTTTCTCATTTTCCCCTGTCCCCTGCAGTCCTCGCAGAGCTGCAGCTCCGGCCGGCAGAACCACGCCCGGCTGCAGAGCGACTCCAGCTCCAGCACCCAGGTGAGCACCTTGTCCCTGCATTCCTTGTCCCCACGGCTCTGCCTTGGCTTGGGCTGACCCCTCACCACTACCACAGCGATTTCTGGCAAACAGAACCAGTGCTGGAAGAGGTAAATGAGTCCCCAACCTGCTTTGGAGCTGGTAATGTCAGAATTGTGCTCTGCTTGGGGTGTTCAATGTTCACCTGCCAGCTCTGCCCTGTGGCCTCACACCTGAAGGTTCATGGCTGTTCCCTCTGTTCATGCCCAGGTGTTTAATTTTAACACCTGTTGAAATTTCTGCCCAGTATATAATGCCAAGCAAAGTAAAGTCTTTGGAGCAGGGATTTGTGGGCTTGGAGTTGTGCAAACAACCAAGCACTGATTCAAATCCAGTGAGAAGAAGCTAAAGAGGGATTTTCCTCGCTCTCCACTGCTGGGAACACAGGCACTATGAGAACACAGCACTTGGGGGTGTAGTTCCCATGTTCCCAACATTTCCTGAATGCTTGGGATGTCTTCCCACTTTGCAGGTGTTTGAATCTGTGGATGAGGTGGAACAGACTGAAGTAGATTCTCAGCTGGAAGATGGCAAGCAAAGCAAGATCCCCAATGGGACAGTCCCCAACGGCACGTGTTCCCCGGATTCTGGGCACCCCTCTTCCCAAAACTTCTCCATCACATCAGGCTTCTCAGAGCGCAGCTTCAGCAACGAGGACAGCGCCCTGGAAACCACCAAATCCTCATCCAGCTCCCAGGGAAAGGCTGCTGGCTCCGACCTGCCAGCCCCACCAGACACGGATGGTGTCCAGCAGGAGAAGCTGCAGGGCCAAGACAGCCTGGAAGGGGAATTTCCCACTGGTGGAAGCGTGGATTTTGTCCCCATGGGTGAGGGCTCGGCGGGGCTCCTGCGTGACAGTGACACTGTGGCCCTGACTGTGGTGGAGAGCTGGGCAGACAGCGAGGCTGAGAAGCAGAGCCTGGTGGAGAGTGAGGACAACCTGTCTGAGGAGCCAGAGATGGAGAGTCTGTACCCACAGCTGGACTCTCTGACTGTGACTGATCTGACCAGCACTGAACCAGCTGCTCTCTCCTCCACGGGTGTCACCTACTCTGTAAGTACACACCTGGCATGGGGGGTTCCTTCCTGGCTGCCTCCAGCACCCCAGAGCAATTTGGGGTGGGAAGGGACCTCTGGAGATCATCCCCTGCCAAGGGAGGGTCACCTGGATTGTGTTCAGGTGGATTTGGGATGTCTCCAGAAAGGGAAGTTCCATGCACTCCCTGGGCAGCTGTTCCAGGGCTCTTCCACCTGGAAGGGAAGAAGTTTTTTTTCATGTTGAGGTGGAACTTTTGTTTCAGTTTATGGCCATTGCTCCTTGTCCTGTCACTTGGTACCACTGAAAAGAGTCGGGCACTCTCCTTTTGGCACATGATTTGGGATGTTTGTATGGATTTATGAGATTTCCTCTCAGTCTTCTCCAGACTGGCCAGGCCCAGCTCCTGCAGTCTCTCCTCATCAGAGAGATACTTCAGACTGCAAATAATCTCTCTGGCAGCTCCTTGTCTTTCTTTAGCTGTGGAGCCCAGAATTGAACACCACACTCCAGATGTGCCTCACTGGGGCTGAGGGAGGGGCAGGATTTACCTGCATTTGCCCTATGCTGATCCCACAGTTGGGCGTAGAGGGGCTCCTACCTTCCACCCAAACTCTGCTCTGTCTCTCCACTGCCCTTGCAGCTCTCTCCCTGCTTTTTACTAGAAAACAAATCTACTCTGCTCTTGTTTTGGGCAGCCAGAGCTGCTGGACATGTACACGGTGAACCTGCACCGCATCGAGAAGGACGTGCAGCGCTGTGACCGCAACTACTGGTACTTCACCCCCGCCAACCTGGAGAAGCTCCGCAACGTCATGTGCAGGTGAGGGCTCTGGGGGCCTTCCTGGGATTCACCTGCAGGCTGGAGCCTCAAACTGTGCTGTGGTTATGGAGTTTTGCTCCTTGCCTTCCTCCCCTCATCACCCAGCGCTGCGGCTGCAGCTCCAAGGATGCGGCGGTTCCCAGACCGAGGTGTCCGGCTGTCCGTCCCCATCACTGCTGTGTCCTGGGGTTTTGGACAAGGCAGGGGCTCCCTGGGCTGCCCAGGAACCAGGGCAGCCCACCGGCTTCCTGCACTTGCCTGGCAAATGTTTTAATGAGGATCAGCCCACAGAGCTGTAGTGCTAATGAGAAAGTGCCTGAAGCACCGGGATGGTTTATGCCTGCCCAAAATCCCAGGAGAGAGCCAGACCTGGGTGCATTTCTGAGTCCCTGTGACTCAGAGCTCGCCTAGTGACACTCACAGGCTCAGACCAGCTCCTGCTTCACAGGCAGCAAAGGCTAAAATATTATTACTCATCTTGCAAACATGAGGAGAAGCTGCTGTTCCATCAGTGCTGTCACTTCACCCGACAGCCAGAGCTGGAGATCTCTGCTGAGATTAGACCTTCAGCACAGCACATTTTGGAAAACCAGTGGGCAGGATGGAAAAGATCCTTCCCTTGTGCCAGCAGCAGATCTGAGTCCTCTCTGAACACATTTTGCCTTGCTACCAAAAAAGGGAAGATATCCCTGCAGGGCTGGGTGCTTCCTGGGACGCTGGGCATGGGAAGGGGAGGCAGGCAGTGTCTGCAGGGAGAACCAGGGGGATCAATGGAGGGAGAGGGATGAGAATGAGAGATGAACAGGTTTTATCAGTCTCTGCTCTTTAACCAGTGACCCCACTGTGCTGTGCTTTGCCATTTTGCTTTTCCCTGTGCTGATTTACCCTGCAATGGCTGTGGCACAGGCCTGGACTGACCCTGGATGTGGCCATGGCACACTCCTGGATCAACACCCTGCCATGCATGCCTTACCTGGGAGGCACCACAAGAATTTAATCATTTGCAGCACAGGGATAACAGAATGAACAGGTGTGATTAACCCCAGCATCCTGGGAAGGGAGACAGGGCATAAGGGAGGTGACAGGTGGTGGCACTCAGGTCCTAGGTCACCTCTCCTGCTCTCTCACACAGCTACATCTGGCAGCACATTGAGATTGGCTACGTGCAGGGCATGTGTGACCTGCTGGCCCCTCTCCTGGTCATCCTGGATGATGGTGAGTGGGTGGCTCTGCTTTCCCTGTGTCTGTGTGGGGATCTGTGTTGGGATGTGCCAGGTGGGTGGTGGCTCTCTGTGCCTGGAGGTGTGGAGCAGGATCCTGTTTGTCCCAGGAGCGCACCCTGGGGCCAGGCTGAACTTTCTGGAAGGGTGTTGCTGCTGCAGCCCTGCAGTGATGTCTCTCCTCCTTGCACAGAGGCTCTGGCCTTCAGCTGCTTCACTGAGCTGATGAAAAGGATGAACCAGAACTTTCCACACGGAGGAGCCATGGACACCCACTTTGCCAACATGAGGTCACTGATCCAGGTGGGAGCTCCTGGCATGGGGATGGCAGCTCCTCATAACCAGGGGGGAAAGCTAGTCCTGGAGGGGCTGGGGTGGAGATTCAGTGCTGGGGAGCAGGAAGGACAGCAGGGGCTGGAGCAGTGTGTGCCAGGGTGGGAAGTGCACCAGCACTAGGGGAGCAGAGGGATGGAGGGAAGTAGGCAGAGGGATGATGGTGTGTGCATTCCTGAGTTTCCTTTTGCTTTTCTTGACAGATTCTGGACTCTGAGCTCTTTGAGCTGATGCACCAGAATGGGGATTACACTCATTTCTACTTCTGCTACCGATGGTTTCTCCTGGACTTCAAGAGAGGTGTGTACTGAGACCACCCAAGGGTGGGGCAGGATCTGCTTCCAGGCTTCTCAGCAGGTTTAAACTTATTTTTAATTCCTTTTCACTTTTCCCTGGTTTGTGTCTGGCTGATTGTTCTGTCTAGATACAGAACCTGTTGTTCCAGAGCTGCTGCTGAACTTTTCCATGAGTGTGTCCTGGGGCTGTGTCACCTGCTGCTGGGCAGAATATTTCTCCTTACAGATGACTGACTTTGCTTCCAGCTGGAGCAGGTTCCTGTGGGAAGGAAGCACCCAGTGTGTCTCCCCAGTGCTGCTGTGAGCTCTGTGAGCCAGGGTGGGGTGAATGGGGTGGTAACTGCTGTTCTCTGCTCACAGAGCTGGTGTATGACGATGTCTTTGCTGTCTGGGAGACCATCTGGGCTGCTGCTCACGTCTCCTCTGCTCACTACGTGCTCTTCATAGCCCTGGCCCTGGTGGAGATGTACCGGGACATCATCCTGGAGAACAACATGGATTTTACAGACATCATCAAGTTTTTCAATGGTACAGCTCGTGCTCTCTTGGGCTGAGGTTGGGGCAGCTGCTCAGGTGTGGGAATGTTTGACACCGAGAGCTCTGAGGGATCTGGTGGGGCTGGAATCCACCTGCTTACCTCAGCCTAGATGTGTTGGAGGGAGCTGAGGTTTAGGCTGGTTCAGGATGGCTCTCCAGAGCCAGGTGTCCCTGCCAGGGGAGGTTGGAAATGTGACAGCACAGGGATAACAGACTGAAGAGCTGGGGGCTGTAGGCTGGGGGCTGCTCTGCTCTGACCTGTCTGGTGTGTGTTGCAGAAATGGCCGAGCGCCACAACACCAAGCAGATCCTGAAGCTGGCTCGGGACCTGGTCTATAAAGTGCAGACTCTGATTGAGAACAAATGAAGGACCTGGGGCAGACGAGGCACCCAAAGAGCCAGGACTCCCCTCCGACGCTCCCTCCCTGCTCCTGTCTCTCCAAGTGCCACCCCTGTGGGACTCAGGTGGTGGGACACGTGCTGCTACGTGAGCTGGGAGTCCCCTGGGCTCAGCACAGGCCCAGGCTCAGACCTTCTGCAGTGACTCAACCAAAGATCCCTCCAGGTGTGTTCCTGTGCCTGGAGCAGGACCAGGCAGTGGCTTCCTGGCCTTGGAGCAGCTGCTGTGGCCACCAGAACTGCCCAGGCATTGCCACATCCCAGGGTGGAGCTTGGGGGCTGGGGGAGCAGAGCTTGGTGGCACAGAGGGAAAGCTGATTCCTTGGAAAGCTGCTTCCTTGGGCAGCCCTTCCCTGTGGGGTGGGAAGGCAGCCAGCCCTGCGAGCCCGGGCAGCACAGGGATGCTGCCAGTGCTCAGCTTCTCACCAACACAGCGAGGTTCTGCCAGTAATGGGGGGAACTTTGATCACAGGAATTCCTCTTTTGATCTTGTCCCTCAGTGCATTGCTTCCCCTTCAGTGTTTTCTTTTTTTAGGGCTCCGTTTTCTCCCTGGGATTTTACATTGTTCCTACAATATCTGAGCACACAAGAGGTTCGTGTCTGGATGGATTTTCAGAACAGCTCCAAATTCAGTGTTGGGGTTATTTTTCAAAATCCAGCCTCTGTAATGTTCTCTGAACACTGGGAAATCTGGTCCTGACCTCCTCTGGGAACTCCAGGCTGGGGGTTTTCTTACCTGCCTTACTTTAGCTGCTTGTGGTAGGAGTCTGGTCTCTTTGTTGTTCCTCTGAGCTCTTGTGAGGGAAGGGCTCCTCAGAAGGCAAGTCAGAGCTCCTGATTATCCTGACTTTCCCTCTGACAGCTTCAGGGCTGGCTGTTGAGTCCCCTAAACCCACTGAGCATCTCCAGTTAGGTCTTGGTGGGCTTTTCCCACAGACCTGTGAGAGGAAAATAGCCCAAGGTCCCTGAGTGGGCTTTGCTTTGGGAAGATGCCCTTGTGTGGCCACTTTTCCTGCACAGCCTGGAGCCCAGTGCGTGAAGTGCCTCTCCAGCTGCTGTGTCCCACACAGCCTGCCCTGCAGAGGCTTCGGAGTCATTTTTCAACTCAGGTAAAAACAATACAGGAAAAGGAGAGGGGTGGGCGGGTGGATGGAGGGTCCAGCCCAGCCAGGAGGGCAGTGCTGGGTTGGAGCTCTCTCTCTGAGGGTACTTTCTCTCAAGTTTTGCTGCAAACTTTTGTGTTCCCCTTGGTGCAATGTGTGCTGTGTTTGTGCTCTCCTCTGGCCTTGCTCCTGCCTTGCTGCTGGAGTGTTCCCACAGGAGGGAAAGGGGCCCTTCCTCCCTCCTCCTGTGCATCATCCATCTGTGCTGGTTTGTGTTGGCTCGTGGCACGTGTCAGATGTTGCTGGCAGAAAAAAGGTGGTTGTCAGCCTGCACAGGAGAAAAACTGCTGCTTCAGGGAAGGGCTGAGCAGCCTGGTGGAGTGGTTTGCTGGTTCTGAGCAAATCAGCAATTATTTTCTGTGTTCTGGGACATGGAGGTCACAGCTGGAAAAGGCAGTGGCACTGCTTGAACCCTTTGGGGAAGGGGCAGAGGGAGAGCAATGGGCAGCCCTTCATTCCTCATAATCCCAACAATCTGGGAAATTCCCTGAAGCAGTGAAACTCCAAAGGGTGCTGGGCTGCAGTAGCACAGGAAACAAAGAGCTTGAGACCTGCCAGTTCCTGAGAGAATCTTTCATTTTTCCACCAAACAGAGTGAAAAGCTGTGTCCTCCCTCCTTCCAGGCTGCTCCTGCTCCCTCAGGGCTCTAGGACAGATCTGTCACCTGTCTAGAGGGCAAGGGAAGTGTCTGTTCTCCCTTTCCTGAGGGCCAGGGTCACCTTAAATACCACCTGACCAAGCAACATTGCTGACACTAAACCTTTCAAGCTTCTTTCCTTGGTTTTTAAACAAAAACAGCCAAGAAGTTCTGCACAATATTTGCTGTCTGTATTAACTGAGAGTGTCTTTGGGCCGCTCAATAGCAGTGTTTTTTTGAATAATTTCTGGGGGGGAAGGGAAAAAAGTATTTATTTATTGATTGTACCTGACTGTGTGTCCTTGTGTGCTGTGTGAGTGCGCGCTGTTGTGCAAATGGAGATAGAAATTTTCAATGTTATTTACGATATCTTGTAAATGTTTACCAGAGAATTGTGTCTATATATAATATATATACAGAATAGAGAGAAAATATGTCAACTAAGTGGGTTATTTTTTGAGGAGGGGGGGTGTGGGGTGAGAAATCTTTTGCTTCTAAGAACTGTGTGGTTTCTATAGCACCTATTCCATGATGTGCCAATCTGTCACCGTCCCTGTGCTGGGAGAGTTGTTCTGGTGGGGCAACAGGAAGCTCAGAGCAGAGTCATCATCACAACCTCAATTTGGCTTCATCTTGGTTCTGGCTTTAAGACTGGACAAGAGGAAGAAAAGAAAATTAGGGAAAAATACTATAAAAAAGCTTTGTTTCGGCTGTGTTGCTGGGCAAGTTCTTGTGCTTATGGGGACCCACAGTGAGACCCCACCAGGAGTCTGGGGCTCTCTTTGATGCTTAAAAGCTGCTAAGAAGCTGAAAAGCAAAGGTTTTGCTGTGCAGCTGTTTGTGGGTCTTCTCTGGGCTCCTTCTCTGCCCCCCTGCAGGATCCCCATGAGATAAAGCCTTGTTCTGGCATTCTGACAGGGCCCATCATGGTGCTGGAAGCCAGCAGGGATCTCTCCCAGCAGGAGAGGCCTGTCACCAGGCTTGGCCATATACAGTAATCTTGTCTGGCCCCTTGGGGAGGAGGAATGTCTCATCCCAGCAGCTCTGTGCAGCTGAAAACCCCCCCACAATGGCACTGCCAGCCCAGGGCTATTTTAGCCTGTGGGAACAGGGATGGAGCTCTGTGCCTTAAACTGACAGAGGGCAGGGTTGGATTGGATTTTAGGGAGAAATTCTGCACTATAAGGCACTGGCACACCCTGGATCCCTGGAAGTGTCCCAGGCCAGGATGGACAGGACTTGGAGCAACCTGGGATAGTGGAAGGTGTCCCTGCCCATGGCAGGGGGTGAAACTGGGTGATCTCTAAGTTTCCTTCCAACCCCAACCATTCCATAACTCCACACCTTCTGAGGAGATTGCTACAAGGGTGGCATGAGCTGTCAGCCCCTGTTCTCTGCTCCAGTCACTCCAAGCTGAGCCTGAGGAAGGAAGGAAGGTTGGGCTCCGTAGGCTGAGTTCAGCTCCCATCTCACCCTCACTGAGCACCCACATTGCTGTGGGGTTTGTGCTGAGCTCAGGTAACCTGAGTGTGTGTAAATCCACTGAGTGTTTGTGTCCTGGCCCTGTGTTCCTCAAATGGATTATCTTCCTGCATTTGACCTTTCTGCTCTTGCAACCTTCCAATGAGCTCCTGGTACTCATCTCTTTTGGTGTCAGACCCTTTAGAAGTTGTGTTTGTTCCTAAATGTGTGATATTCATAGGAGTTTTTCTCTTGGTGTGTTGAGTCCCTGGGTGGCTTTGCTGTGGATGTTTTTCATGAAGACTGAGAGATTTGGGTTTTTTTTGTGTGTGTGGGAACTTCCTGCTGTGTTCCAGTCCTGCTCTCATCCAGCCCCTGGCATGGGGAACATCCCTTAACTCATCCAAATGCACCTGGTAGTGCAATGTGAGCCAGCAGTGGAACTGCAGGTGTCACTGACAGGTGGAAAAAAGGCTGAGAGATGGAACTATTGAAGAGATGGGTCCCAAAATCCCTGGAGACACAAGCCTCGTGGCCAAGAGCAGTTTGTGGGATGAAGTTCTTATTATTCTTTGTTTTTATTTATTTATTTATTTATTTATTTATTACTTATTTTGCCTATTTCCCCTCTCTTTCCTGGATTTTTCCTGAGGTTGGTCCCCTGCACTGGGAGCCAAAGTAGCCAATGGGCCTCTTACCAGGGATGGGACCAGTTTTGTGGTTCTCATCCCCTAATTTTGCTTTTGAAATATCTTACAATATCTAAATCACTTTAGTTTTGGGATTCTCATCCCCTAATATTGCTTTTGTAATATCTTAAAATATTTAAATCCCTTTTCTCGAGAGGCATAGTGGGAGCCTCTGAGCATTTGATCAGTAGGACCAAAATGATGATCGTGTCATCAAAACCTCTGTCTTATTTCTCATTCCATTTGGGAATTTCCGAGTACTGAGCAGTTCTGGGCTTGTCTTCAGCATTTTACTATTGTGTGAGCACAAATTGATAGAGCACAATGTAGAGATGGAGTTCCAGCACTATGGAAGGGTTGGAACTCACCAGAACCTGTGTCAGAAGTTCCTGTAAAAGCTTTTTCAGATGCCCTGAAGTAGATCAAACGCCACTGATTGTCCCTGCTTTTCCACTCAAGGTCAGCATCCTCATTGCCCTGAATAAGCAATATTTCACTGATTAAGGCATCTAAACAATTGTGGTTCTCAGTGTGACCACATTTCTGTCCTCTGGTGGCCACATGGGCCATGGCTGAGGCCATTTGATGCCATAGCCACACATTCACACAGCTCACTGTGTGGATTCCTTCCCAACTTTGCCTGAATCCTGAACTTCCTGGAGAATGTATGGTTGGAATAGCCATGGAAGTCTTTTAATGTGTCTAATCTAGTTTCTAATTTAATTTTGGATTGGTGCATATTCCACCTTAGATTCCTGTTCAGTGGTTTAATAGGTTCCTTTTATAAATGGGTTTTGCACATGGAGAGCCCATGGATGGTGCTGCAGGGGACAGTCCCTTCTCCATGGTGGCTTTGTAGCCATCAGCAGTGGGACATGACTGGGAGCAAGGGCACTTTGCATCAGTGCTTTGATGAGGGGGGAAAAGCACCATTTATCTTGTTTTTTAAAAATTTATTTTTTAACAAATTAATGTTAAAGATTAAACTATGCACAAGATCTAAATACATGGAAGTTTGAGGAATGAGTATGGCTTTGCTGCTAAGGACAATAAAGAATTGAAAATCCTGATAGTGGATACTGAGAGATTAAAAATGTCATTGTTGTGACTATGTAAGATTGACTTAAATTCTCAGAAATTCATTCTCTCTGGAGAGCAATTCCCAGAAGCCAGGGAAGAAATTGTTTTCCCAAACAGAATTGATGAAAAGCTTTGAAAATGCAACGTGGATGTAACCTCAGACCCACGATTGTCACTTCCCTTGTTCCAGGAGTGTTCTGGAGAGCCAGGCAGGGCAGCAGGGTGTGACAGCCATCGTGGGGTCTCTGTGGGACAGGGAATTACCCCTCAGCACAGGGATTTGAATGTGTCTGGTGTCCTGGCATTAGACTTTTCTGTTGCCCTACACAGAATTGCTGCTTTTCTCTGTTCAATGCCATTTTGGTCTCTGGGAGTTGCTCGATCTGAGCTTAATGAGCACTTACAGCTTTTAATCTATTTGTAGAAGTGCTGCTAATGGTCTTAGATTATCTGAATTCCACACTGTGGTATAATATCTGTTTTATATTATTTTATTCATGCTTTTGGTTTTTTTTTAAATGTAAACTGTTCCTTATTGTTGTTGAGAAGGAAAAAAATTAAAGCTCTATTCTCTATGGTTAATGTATTTTCAAATCAATCAGATCTTAGTGGTTTTTCTGTCTGTGTGGTCCCTGGGAAGGCAGTGAATGGGGATACTCTGAGCAGGGAGTGCCCAAAATGCTCTATTTCCACTCTGCTCATGGATTCCAGGGCCTCCTGTTGTTTGTGGTGAGTGTCCCCTGTGCTGGGGGGGACCTGGGCTCCTTTTTGCACCCTCATGGTCCTCACTTTTCCCCATCCCTTGCTCAGTCCAGCTTTGCTGAGCTCTGGGCAGATGTGTGGCAGTGACACCTCCTTGGCTTTGCCGGCACTGTCACCTGTGCCCGTTCTCTTGCTCTACACCCCTAGAATGTGGAGAATTAAACTGATGATGAAACAGAGCAATGGAAGAGGAGGAAAAGCACTGGGGAAGGGCTGGGCCAGGTCCTTGGTGTTGCATGGAGTGAACTGCCCCAGACAGAGCAGATGGGGAGTGACAGAAGGTCCTGGCATGTGACAGTGTTCACAGGGGTCTGAAAATGAGGGAAGAAACGAGGATCTGACTCCATATTTCAGAAGGCTTGATTTATTATTTTATGATATATATTACATTAAAACGATACTAAAAGAATAGAAGAAAAGGTTTCCTCTCAGAAGGCTAGCTAAGAATAGAAAGGAATGAATAACAAAGGTCTGTGGCTCGGACAGAGAGCCGAGCTAGCTGGACTGTGACTGGCCATTAATTAGAAACAACCACATGAGACCAATCCCAGATGCACCTGTTGCATCCCACAGCAGCAGATATCCATTGTTTGCATTTTGTTCCTGAGGCGTCTCAGCTTCTCAGGAGGAAAAATCCTAAGGAAAGGATTTCCATAAAAAGATGTCTGCCGCACTGGCATGGTGGCAGCCCAGAGCTGGGACATGGTGGGGATGGTTTGTACCTGTGTGAGATCCTGTGGGGACAGATGGCCCTGGCATGGTGGCAGCCCAGAGCTGGGCCCTGGTGGTGATGGTTTGTACCTGTGTGTGATCCTGTGCTGCCAAGTGAGCTGGGCAGGAGGTGAGGGAGTGCATTCTGCAACGGTGCTCAGAATGACCTTGGACTTGATGTCGTTCTTTTCCTTCAGTATTTCCTGGATCAGTCTCCAGACCTTTAAACTGGCACTGATAGGATGGGCTGCTATGCCTTTCTTGCAGGGAACAGGAGGGACAAGTTTTTCATCAAAAATATGAGGAGAACAAACTGCCTGTGCTCCCTGCTCAGGGCTGGCACTTGTCACCCCTCTGGACTCCACAAAATCCTTGTGGGTGCTTGTGCATCTTCCAGCTGTTCCATGGGGGGATGCCATGTGTGGAAATAGGTAAGAGGTGTCCCCAGCCTCCTTTCTGTGGCGTCAGTTCCTGCACTGCTGTTGGAGGGGTCCACATCACCCCAATGTTGTGTTTTAAGCAAGCACAGAATTTAACTGCATTTCTAAAAATGGGAATGCAAGGAAAGCTGGATGCTCTCTCCAGATTCCTGCCTCTACCTACTTATGAGAAGAGGCTTAATTAAATAAATCCTGGTATTTAATTAATCCTTAATATGTTTGCTTCTTGAGGCATGTTTGCTCTAAAGGCCCAGCCCCAATTTCCAGTGCAGGCTGACGTTTGCAGGGAGCTCACAGCTCAGAACTTCAAAAGCTGATAAAGACACTCCCCAAACACGCAGAGTTTGCAAAATGCCAGGGTGGGTTTCAACCAGCCCTTGCAAATGTGTTAATTACCTGATATTAATTGGCATCCTAACCACCAGAGGCCACATCCCCAAGGTGCCAAAGCAGGACTACTCTGTGCTCTGAGCAGAGAGACTGGCAAAATCCCTGCCTTTTGGATGGAGGAAAGTAAATGATCCTAAAAGTGAATTTCATTAATTTTTAACTTGGGATAGTTTCTCACAAAAGCAGCTATCCTGAGGTTGTGCTTTGAAGTGCATGGAAATTTCCATCAGTTGCCACGTCCATGCAGTGCAGGAGACAGCAGCTGGTGGAGCAGCTCTGTCCTGTGCAGGAAGAGAAACCATTCCAACTCCTTGTCAGCACGGGCTCTTCAGGAGATTTTGAGGAGGGATTGGATTATGGGAGCTCCTCTGAGGGGTGGTGGCAGCCCCAGGACTTTCCATGCTCTGTTTTGCCCCTCTGCTCCCAATCCTTTGACTCCCAGGGGGCTGTGGCAGATGCACCAGTGGCAGATGAACCAGTTTGGCTGTGGCCCAGGGCTGGGTGTGATGGGGGCACTGGGAGCTGTGCTGGTGAGCCCAGCTGGGAGTGCTCGTCCTCACAGACCCTCCTGCCAGGCTCAGGCACGTGGCACACTGAAGGGCCCAGAGTATTTATAGCCCTTGTTAACATGCATGAATGGACATGCTGAGTCCTGGCACAAACATCTGCCCAGGTGGGTGCTGTCCTGGCAACACCCTGAGCTCTCTCTGCTGCCTTAAGGTGCTCCAGCACCTATTTCAGAAGGCCTTTTGCAAAGGAAAATGAAGCTGAAAATTCAAAGGCTGATTCACAGCTGTAGCAATCACTGGGTAAATCCTGCAGAGAGGCCCAGTTTGTACAGGCAGCAGCACCTGACTGATGCAGGGTAAGGGGCTGACCCAGCCCTGCAGCACTGGGGGATGGAGGACTGTACAACAGGGATTTTGTTAGCCTGGGATTGGGAATCTCAGGGCAACATGAAATTGTTTGGGATGGAAGGGACCTTAAAGTCCATCTCACTGACAGAGGCACCTTCCACTATTCCAGGCTGCTCCAAGCCCCATCCAACCTGGCCTTGGACACCTCCAGGGATGGGGCAGCCACAGCTTCTCTGGGTACCCTGTGCCAGGCCCTCAGCACTCTCACAAGGAAGGGTTTCTTCCAAAACTCCAATCTAAACCTCCACTTTATCAGTTTAAGTTCTCCTTTTGCTTGCTTTGATTGCAACAATTGAGGTGAAGCAATCCATGCTCAGGCATTTCCAATGAGCTGTGGATGTACCTCACAGCCATGAAAAACGAGCTCAGATCCAGGAGACAACAGCACAGGGATGTGTTAAGCCAGTCCTTAAGCACAAGGAAGTATGGTGCTGTTTCCTGGAGCATTTCTCAGGAAGTGAAAGCATTTCTGCAAGGCTTTGGCAGCCCTGTTGGAACAACATGTGAGTGCTTAGGAGTTATCAGAGAGCTCTGTGATAGTGCAGCACCCAGATTATCTGTGCTGGTTCAGTGGATTTTTCTGAGTAATTTCCAGGAGTGGAGAGGTTGTTGGGGAGGAAGATGCTGCCGTCAGTGCACACAGCTTGGGGTTCAGTCTCTGGTTTAGTGACTGACCTGGCCCTTGGGTGGATGAGTTTGAGCTTTTTTTAGTCCAGCAAATGGAACACGGATCCTCAGCTTTATCGCCGTGACTAAGGACGTGTTGTTGTTGGCTGGGTTACAGGAGTGCTCTGAAATCTGAGTCACTCTTCTGCTTGGCAAAACAAAAGCAGACTCCCAGGAAATCTGCATCCCTTTGTTCTCCCCACAGCCCCCCAAGCCTGGCCATGTGCTGCTGGCTGATAGCACAGGGATCAGGATGGGGCCATGTCCTCACCCAGACCAGTGCAGGCAAAACCACCAGGGATTATATAACTGGCAACAATTCCACACCCACTGGTTCTTCCCTCTGTTGCACTGGAACCTCCGTGACGGTGCAATCTAACAGCTCCTTCCTACTGGAGAGCATTATACACACAAATTTGACACTCAATTATCCTTGTTTTTTAGTCAAGGATTCCTTGGCTATGGCTGCTTTCAGCAGTGAGGCTTGACAGTTCTGCCTTCTCAAACTTCTTTCTGGAGGAAGAAATATTATGTGGACACCACGGTGAATCCCACAGGCTCCACACCCCCTCAGAGGGGTGATGCCCTTTCCAGGGCCTGGCAGAGCTCAGCCTTCACAAGGACTGTGTGTTTAACAGACTATTCCATTTAAAACAGGACTCCCTCTCCTGCTTTCCTCCTCCCAGCCCTGTTCCTGAGTCAAACTTGAGGATGGGAGAGGCAGCAACCCCATGGCCAGTGGGGTTTTTTTGGGAAGGCAGTGCCAGGGCTGTGCCCTCCCTGTGCTCTGAGCCAGGCACTTGCTCTCTGTGAGCTCTGCACCGATTTCCACGGTGGATGTGCAAGAAGAGGTGGGAAAGGAACTTTTAAGGATAGTTGCTGTGGTGGTGATGGAGAGTGGGAGGATTTCCTGTTTTCCTTTATGCAGATTTCATGTAGTGGGCAGTGGAGCACCTTCCTGCAGTACTCAGTGCCTGAGGTGTGTGGGGAGCCTGTTTCCTCCTGGGGCTCATCCTGAGCTGTCACCAACAGTTCTGAATGTGACCGTGTTCACAGGGGTCTGAGGATGAGGGAAGAGACGAGGATCTGACTCCATGTTTCAGAAGGCTGATTTATTATTTTATGATATGTATTACATTAAAACTACACTAAAAGAACAGAAGAAAGGATTTCATCAGAAAGCTGGCTAAGAATAGAAAAAGAAAGAATGATAACAAAGGCTTGTGGCTCAGACTTTCTGTCCAAGCCAGCTGACTGTGATTGGCCATTAAGTAGAAACAACCAACATGGGCTAATCAAAGATCCACCTGTTGCATTCCACAGCAGCAGATAATCAATGTTTGCATTTTGTTCCTGAGGCGTCTCAGCTTCTCAGGAGGAAAAATCCTAAGGAAAGGATTTTTCATAACAGATGTCTGTGACATCTGAATTTTGTGGGAGCAGTTACTTTGTGGAAGGTTGCAAGGCAGGATGCTGAAGTGTTTCCCTGCTGAGGGCCAGAGCATTTCAATGCCACGTGGGCCTGGGAAGGGTAGCAGGGGAGCACTGGAAAATCAGTGTTCCCCTGACCCAGACAGGCAGTTTTTGCATACACCTCCACCTTTTCACATAACAGGAGCAACTGGCCTAGCAGGAAGAGAGGGAGACTGTTCCTGGCTGCAACAAAGGAGGGGATTTTGTCGCACTCGCCGGAATCAGGCAGGAGTGA